CGTGACGGACTGCCGGTCAGCCTTACGGCAAATGTTCAACAAGGAGGCCCGCGGTGTTCCGTACAGCGCACCCGAATATTTATCCTTGTTGTCCCCTGACTAAGAGAGGTGAGTTTCGAGATTTCTTCGAGTCCTGCTGCATGATTTTTGCAGGCCTAAGAGAGAGGGAAAAGAGCACGAAGCAGCGCTGTGGGAGCGCTCCAGGGAACCGACCTCTGACGAAAGCTAAAATAAAATAAACTCCATCTTCAGTTGATCTCCAGGCTGGCAGGCTCATTCGGGCGCGGGAGTCGAACCCGGGACTGCCATGTGCGCCATCATGATTGTGCCATATCTTTGGTAAGAAGGGACAGTGACGTTTTTGGCTTGGCCGAATGGCTTGCGCCTGCGCGGAATCATGAATGGCTTGTTTCGGCCTGGTCTCAGACGTTCAGGTGTGATCCTTATCTTATCGCGGACTGATCCGGCTGAGTTTGAATAAATGATACTGTCTGTATGCCCCCATGCTACGCGCAGCGTTTTGCCGACAACCTCACCTAATCGCTCGCACTTGCGCTAGATTTCGCCACATGTCGACATCCACAGAGCCGACGAACCAGCGTCTGTCTGTCGATCCCGAAGGCAGGACTGTTGTCGACTTGACCTTCGCTTCAGAAGCTTTGGGGATGCCAGCCGCACAAGGCTACGGCTGGGCACAATTTGAATTTGGTGACTCTGTCGGAAATGACCAGCGGTACACGATCCTGCGGAAGCTGGGCTGGGGCATGCACTCTAGTACCTGGCTAGCTCGCGACGAAGTGTAAGCGCTGTCCATCCGCTTCATGAAAGGACGTTCGCTCAGTGTAAACATAGCGGCAATAGATTCGTTGCAGTCAAGGCGCTGACTGGCCATGTGACCGAGATGAATGAGAAGGCTGTATCTTGGGAAGCTGAGGCTCTCAGGCTCTTGTCTGCTGACCCTCCGTCACCGCATTGCGTGCGACTCTTGGACGAGTTTACCATTCCCGGCCGTGGCTCCGCTGGCTCTCATCTCTGTTTCGTGCTGCCCATCTATGGGGGTGACGTGAAAGCTCTCAGTAACTCCCGCAAAACCCCTTTTGACCTCCCGACGGCCAAGCGTATCATTCTTCATCTTCTACGTGGCATAGCTCACACGCATAGCCGTGGCGTCATGCACACCGATATTAAACACGACAACATCTTTTTTGCCACGGATCTGGAGACCACGGACATCGAGCGCTGGATGAAAGAGGCTCCATCGCGACGCCATCCACCGGAAATGTCGCAGGACGGCATTGTACAAGCTGCTGTATCTCAGCCATTGCCCATGATCTCCGACGAGCTCGCTCCCCGCGCCACTTATGTATTGTCTGACTTCGGCTGCGGTGAGCTGCTGACTTTCTTAGCCTGCTGGAAGTAACATTCATGATCATCTCACGCAGCCTTACCTTCCCGGCTTCATGATGATCGACCAATAACGACACTACTTTTGCGAGCCCCAGAATCATTTCTTGGGGGACAATGGGACACACCAGCGGACATCTGGTCGTTTGGATGTCTGGTTCGCCTCGCAATGCTGCGATGCCCTGATGATGCTGACGGTCGCTGCTAGGTCTTCGAACTAGCCGTGTCTCGTTCTCTCTTCGAGTATCGTGTCAATGAAAAGTACAGCCTGACAGAGGTTGAAAACATGCTGTATTAAATGATTTTATTAACCGGTGAAGAGAGTTTCCGAGCGGCACAGCTCAGTGTCTGCCCACTGGCGGGCGAGTATTTCAACGCAGCATGTACGTTCTTGACTCGCAACATTCCCCGGATGTTTTTTGATTGACATCCATGTAGGTCAGCTGAAGAAAGAGCCCACCGTGTTCAAGTGGCCTCTGGAGGACATGATCGGCAGACATGGCAAGGTTATACCGTCCACTGATGTCTCCGCAATTGCAAAGCTCATGCACCGATGCTTGCGCCTCAATCCAGATGACCGGGCCACCGCCGAAGAGTTATTGCAGGACCCTTGGCTCGAAGGTGCCAATGACTGAGGTGGGCGCACGTACAGTTAAGTCAGTCGTCTTTGTATAGCTCTTCTACATTGGAATAAGAAGTCGGTTGAACAAACACCAGGCTATATCGTGTGGTCCCCAATTTTTCACCTTTCATTCATTGCATTTCTGTCGCTGTGCTCAGGTATGTAAGTATCACAACCGCGAGTACGTACTCGAGTTAAGACCAGACTCCCACAATAGGGATCTCCGACTGCGTCAGCAGAGACCTTGCTCGGAGGTTACATATTTATTCTGCAGATGAAGTTGAAATATGAGTTGAATGTAGCTACAAAGGCTATCGGGTGTCGCTCGCAGATGAAATCGCGCTCCTTCACAGGTTCCATCTTGATTTTGCAGATCACGTTGAAATGTGAGTTGAATGTAGCTGCAGAGGCTATTGAGTGTCGGTCACACATGATATAGCGCTCCTGACAGAGGTGACTAGCCCCTGGTGTACCATCAGAAGCGCCTCAACCACAGTTGGACACTGACTGCAGAAGGTGACTGAATGGTGTCTTTTTTACCTGACAAGTAGTCTAAGGCTCCAACCATTTCCGTTTTTAAACGCTTTAAACGGATAAAACCGTTTCTGTTTCCATTTATTTTATGCTCTCTGATAAATGGTAAACGGATAATAAACAAACGGTTTAAATGGTTTTGAAAACAAACCACCTGGTGCATATTCTTTGAGAATCTGCTGCAGTTATAGTGTACGACAAATAATTTAACTGTCGAACAACCCACAAAATGGTTTCTCTCACCGTGCGTCCTTAATTGGCGAGATATTGCCACAACTCGTCGCCTCGGGGCAGCTCGGCCGAACCAATCTCTCTCTCTCAGCGTCTAGATCAAACCTAAACAGCCTCTGGTAGCAATGCTGGGGCATATGAGAGGCTCTGCTAGTCATTCCTAGTGTCGAGCACTACAGTGAACCCATCCAGATAGCAGTGTAAGAATGTTACCCCGACCTTACCATTTATAAACTGTTTAAACAGTTTTTAAACACTTTCCCTCTGTTTCCGTTGAGTTTACGGACTTTCACAAACGGAAACTAAATAGTTGGAGCCTTAAAGCAGTCTTTTGCAAGCTCAGTTCTCCCCATGTGCATATTTCGTTCTCACATCTCAAGTCCCGTCTTTGTCTCCCAACCGATTTTCTCAAGTTGTGCCTTTTCCCCACTTTCCCTCCAACATGCGTGTTCTAAAAGCAGGTTGTGTTTACTGGACCCTATATGAGCTATAGGGCTATATCTGCGGGTTAGCACGCTTCAATCTATCAAGGACAAGGAGGCCCACAGTGTTCCGTACACCACACCCGAATAATTACCCTCCTCGTCCTTTGATCAAGGTAGGGACGTTGGAACTAATTTTGTATTCAGTTGGCGAGTTCCAGATTTCCTGGGAGAATAAACATTGTCGCATCATTTCTTGAACGAACGAATCAGGACCGCGCGGCGGGGCGTATAATAGCCGGGTTGAAGCTAGGGAGCTAGGGAGGGAACCGCCTCAGTAATGCCAACGAGAAAAAATGATTTCGTCGCAGTCATTCGGGCGCGGGGAGTCGAACCCGGACTGCGCACCACAGCGTGCAGCGAGAGTACATATCGAGACCCGCGGTGTTCCGTACACCACACCCGAACATCTACCCTGCCTGTCTTACCAACTTAGGATATAGGTAGGACATTCTGTGAATTTCGTTTTTCGAGGGTGGCTGAATAAATTTCGCAGCGCAGCACCTACATCTCCTGGAGCGAAGGACTGGACGGGGAGGGAAACGGCCGTATTAAGCCGTTGGACCGGCATGCGTCGCATCGGGAGGGATTGACGCGCGAAATACCAATGGCGCGCACCATTATTCGGGCGCGGGGAGTCGAACCCCGGGCTGTGCGCTATCGCTTAAGATTACTCAGCAAAGAAGACGCCCGGTGTTCCACCCGATTCTTTGCCCTGCTTGTCCTCTTGCTAAACGAGGATTCGAAGAGGGCAATTTTGCAGTGCTGCTAAATCGGAAAGATTCGTTCAACCGTCCTAAGCCAGAGGCCTGAAGCGGCGCGGCGATGTGTGAGCGCTTGGATTTCAGCCACCCCGCAGAAATTCCAAGGCAAAACAGGGAGGACAAAAAAGCGATTTCACCAGACCCCATAATTCGGGCGCGGGGAGTCGAACCCCGGCCTGTGCGCTGACGCTATAGCTATTGACAAACTACCAAGACGCGCTGTGTTCCGTACACCACACCCGATCCTTTAGCCTGTTCGTGCCTTGGCCAAGGCAGGAACTTGGAGAGCAGCTTGGCAGTGGTGCTACTCAGTTGATGAGTAACGAGATTTCTTCGAGTCCCGCTGAATGAACTTGTGCAGTGGCCCAAGAGAAAGAAACAAATGAACGCTAAACCAAGCGTTTCAGGTGTAAGTCGCCCTTCAGGAATTCAAAGTCAGAGGAATTGAAGCCGCAACACCGAGAAAGAAAAAAAAAACATGTTTCCGTCGCAGCATTCGGGAGCGGAGCATCGAACGACTTGTGCCCCGGGAAACAGTGCTGAACCAAGTCGCAGCCTCCGAACGCCGGCCGGGGACAAGAAATTCTGAAGCTTTTTTTTTGTTTTCAGAAGAAAAGAACTGGAAACTAGAGATGAATTCAGGTGCGGGGAGTCGAACCCCGGACTGCGGGTTGACACGCTTCAAATAATCAAGGCCTGGCACGGAGGGCCGCAGTGTGTCGTACACCACACCTGATTACTTACCCTGCTTGTGACCTTGCCAAGTGAAAATTTGGAGCGGGGATTTTGGCAGCGGAGCTAATCGGCAGCTGAGGTCCCGAATTTCCGTTGAGGCCCAAGGGACATACATTTTGTAATTTGCGGCGAACCCGGGAGAATACATGGCGAGCGAAGAGAGTGTGCCGGGTGACTACATAGTCAACTTTGAAGGTGGGAAAAAAAAGGTCTCCTCAATGTCGATAATTCGGGCGCGGGGAGTCGAACCCCGGACTGCGCGCTGTCACCCAACTTTCCGCAGTGAAGAAGGCGCGCGGTGTTCCGTACACCACACCTGAATAATTAGACAGGATGTGCACGAGCCGCATGCGGCTTTTGACACTTGTGCAAAGCCGCAGCGGTTTTCCTGTTTATTTTGAGTCAAGCACCACCATTGCACCTCCGAGCTTCTATTCAATGCCTGACACACTTAAATCTTCAATAGCGTGGAAAAACTTCTGCCAACAGAGCTCGCGAAACCCATTTTTTTAAACGGCATCGTTCAAGCCGCTGAATTGTAGGCTGCTCTAACACACCGTTGGTGCTCAGCCCGGACAGTCTCAGGATATAACCATCTACTATACACTTGTTTTACATGTATTCTACTGAGATGTATGTTATTGAGGCCCCAAATACTCTGTTCTCCCTGCGGCTTTGCACAATGACCAAAAGCCGCATGAAGCCGCATGCGGCCCATGCGGCTTTTGCACATCCTGTCTATTACCCTGCTTGTCCCCTTGCTAAACGAGGACTCGAACAGGGAATTTTGCAGTGCCCCTAATCGGAAAAGATTCCAAATTTCTGTGATGCTGGCCGGGCAAAGATTGTTCAACCGTCCCCATTCAGCCCTGAGGCGGCGGTGTGGGAGCGCTTGGACTCCAGCCACCCCGCAGGAATTCGCAAGGCAAAACAGGGAGGACCAAAAAGTGATTTCCCCAGAACCCATAATTCGGGCGCGGGGAGTCGAACCCCGGACTGCCGATCAGCCTTCCAACAAATGTTTAACAAGGAGGCCCGCGGTGTTCCATACACCACACCCGAGTACTTACCCTGCTTCTCTTCTTGCCAGCTGAGGATTTAGGTAGGACATTTTGTGATTTAGAACCCCGTTTTTCGAGGCTGGTTGAATAAATTTCGCAGCGCAGCACCTACATCTCTTGGAGCGAAGGACTGGACGGGGCGGGAAACAGTCGTTGGACCGGCAGGCATCGCATCGGGAGGGATTGACGCGCGAAATATCAATCACACCGGATAAAGCAAAATATTGACCTAGGTCAACATGTTAACTGAAACTAGATAAATTGGTAGCCAAATCAAACTTGATAGAAAGCTGTTCTTTTCTTTTGGTATGAATTTGACATGGAATTAGCCTCAATCAGCCGCTCTTTCACAAGGCATGGCTTTGTTCTCTTTCCACGAGTGAAAAAAGCCATGCCCAAAGAAATCCATTTGGCAGTGCTTTCACGTATATTGAAAGAAGGACTCTCATCGTAACAATCCAAATTCTCTTTGTTAGAACAAAGAAAATTTGGATTGTTACACCCAAAGTCCTTCTTTCTTCTGCCCAGAAACGGGCTGCCGAAAGTTTGTCTTTCAGCAATCCTTTCTCAGCTCGCTGACAGTGAACAAATACATAGCTTGTGAAAGAGTAGCTGATTGAGGCTAATTCCATGTCAAATTCTTACAAAAAAAAAGAACAGCTTTCTATCAAGTTTTATTTGGCTACCAATTTATCTAGCTTCAGTTAACATGTTGACCTAGGCCAATATTTTGCTTTATCCGGTGTGAATGGCGCGCACCATCATTCGGGCGCGGGGAGTCGAACCCCGGAGGGCCGGTCAGCCTTGCAGGAAATGTTAAACAAGGAGGCTCGCGGTGTTCCGTACACCACATCCGAGTATTTGCCCTCCTTGTCCCCTTGCTAAATGAGGATTCGAACAGGGAATTTTGCAGTGCCGCTAAAGCCTAAATCGGAAAGATTCCAAATTTCTGTGATGCTGGCTGGGTAACACCGCATTACTATTGTTCAACCGTCCCCATCCAGCCCTGAGGCGGCAATGTGGGAGCGCTTGGACTTCAGCCATCCCGCAGGAATTCGCAAGGCAAAACAGGGAGGACAAAAAAGCGATTTCACCAGAACCCAGTCATTCGGGCGCAGGGAGTCGAACCCCGGACTGCGCGCTCCTCTTAGCCACGACTTTAAGGAGACGCGCGGTGTTCCGTACACCACACCCGAGTATTTATCCTATTCGTCCCCTTGTTAAGGCTCGGTCTTGGGGGATGATTTCTAGGGTGGGCTATTCAGCCGCCGAGTTTCCGTAGCTCCCCGTGGGTGAAAAACTATCGAGCATCCGAAAAGAGAGCACGAAAGCCATGCTTGAGAGAGCTCCCAGCTAAGCCGTGCTTCGGGAAGTCGAAGTCAAAAAGAAGGGGGAGTCAAAAAAAAAAACGCGTGAAGCATTGGCGAGTCGGGTACGGGGAGTCGAGCCCCGGACTGCGCGCTGTCATTACAAACATATTCAGTGCCAAGAAGACGCGCGGTGTTCCGTACACCACACCCGATTATTTCGTCCCTTCGTTCCGTCCTTAAGCCAGGGCCTTTGGAGCAGTAATCGCTAGCACAGGTATTTAGAAGGTCGCATGTTTTGATGCGGGTGAATTGCGTACCTTCATCTGAGCCTCGCTGTCAGCTCGAAGACGGATTACGATTACGCGATAGCCGTCGAAGCAAACGTAGCCGAAAAAATCTAGCACTTGGGAATTGTAAAACGTATCAAGATGATGAGGTACGAGGAATTCGGGTGCAGGTTGAATAGATTGTGCATCAGTTCGCATTTGTAGGTGCAGCAATAGAGAGCATACACGGTGATTTGGGATGGGGTCCATATCCACATAGATGTACCCGCAGTTGAAGGGTTGATATTGGAAGTGGAAGCTGAAGCTGAAGTATGGAAAGCCAGAGCACCACGCTCTGAAACAAGTGATGTTATCAAAGTGCCGAGTGATGGCCGCCCGGCAGCCTAAATCGGAGGTAGATAAAACGCACCCTGCCCTCTTATTTCTCCTCCAGGATGTGGCGCCTCCTACTCACCTCCGCCTTAAATTTAACTGGATACTCCCGGAGCCTTTAAATTAAAAGAAACAGTGGGGGAGGCATACCTTCCTGTTTCACAATAGAAAGAGAGAAACATATGAGAGCAAATACAAATAAATGAAGGGCTGAAAGTTCTCGAGGGATAGCTGCGACTCTCTAGACCCAAAGCTATATTCCAAGGCCGAGGTCTTTGACTCAGCTTTACATTTGACAATGTCCGAGATCCCCGAGCACATCACAAGACAGACTCAGGGCATGAAACTGAGGCGGAAACCATTGGAATACACAATAATATGGACCGTGGTGATTATGAAGACATTTCAAATCCTTGTCTGCCTTTTCCACAGGTTATATAGCCCGTCCGTCTGGAACAACCACTCAGCAGGTCCACGGGGGTTGAAGATGTCATATAATTGAATAACAACTTTGAGAGCCTCGGACAGGGGGTTTTAGAGGCGTTAGTTCAGATGGTCTATGGAATTCCATGCCTTTGTTGGAGCATTCATAGAAGACCGTGGTTTCAGGACGTGAACATTCCACAACGGTAGCAAGTAAACATTAGCTCCGGCCTGTATTTGGGTATCAAAAAGGCTAAATTGTATATGGACTCAATACAAAGCATCCTTGCAAGCTCTGTTGTATTTAAATGCCTTGTTATTTGCCTCCCGAAGCGAAAGAAGACGTTGTAAAGCCGAAAAAGTGAGGTTGAACATGTCAAAGCTAGCATTTTCATCTGTCGTACTTGGAGTCGGGGTCAATAACATTAATACATCGGAGTGATTATGGTAGTATGCATAAACATTGCTCCCAGTGTCCGAACTGAAGGAGTCGTGGCTACTTTCACCTTGACTGCTCACGGCACAATGACGGCCATCACTCGGCAGTTGATAACATCATTTGTTTCAGAGCGTAGTGCTCTGGCTTTCCATACTGAAGCTACGAAAAAGGCTGACTCGGATCTTCGATTCGCACGCGGGGAGGCGGACCCCGGTCTGCGCGCTATCCTCGCACCTAGCCTTAAAGAAGGCGCGCGGGGTGCACAGCGTGCACCACTCCCGCGTACTTACCCTGCCTATTCGTTGGTTAAGGTAGGCGCTTCGGGCACTCGGATAGTCCGTCAGCTTCATCTTCAGCGGCGCAGAGTATGTTGATATTGATATTGCCGGGCTGGGCGCGCCCAGTGCGGAGCCGTGAAGATAGCAATATTGTAGGCGCCGCGGGCTTAAAGGCCCCATCGCAGCCGTTCACCCCGGCGCGGAAAGCTCGGAGGCGTGTGGGCATCCCGACGGCCGGGACAAGTGGGGATTCTTCGGCGCTCAGGGGCTTTGCGCGGGACCAGACGTACGGCGAACGTGCACCGAAGAACGAGCACAAGGAGGCGAGGGGGCGAGGGACAGGAGGGGCAGGATGAGAGAGAATATGTGCATGGGCGAGGGAGGAGAGAATGAGGGTCGAGGTATTTGGCGGGACTCGCACGATCCATGGGGACGAGGCACATAGTTATCAGAATCGCGTGATTTGCGAGTGGCTCGAGGTGTGGCGAGGAACGACGGCATGAGAGGGGTGGGGTTGCGCTGGGTGCTGTGTGGGCGGCCGCGCATCGGCTTTCCTAAGAGAAGATTAAGATAGGTTATAGTTGCCTGATGCTTCATGCACTCGGCCCGGAGATTCGACGCCTTATGTGCGGTGTTCACGAGAGCAGCGCGGGAGGCTGCGGCGCACTTATTCACATTCACATTCACATTTGAGGAGCGTACGAGGATAGAACCCGCAGACGCCGGTAAGTACGTTTCGGCGGCCATGAGAAAACGTCCGGGCAAGGACACGGACAGGGGAATGCGAAGGCCGGGAGCCGGGATACAGCTCGCTTGAAGGCGCATGCGCACGGAGCCGTGCAGGGGATGGGGATTGGCTTGTGCGCGGGGAAGAGGTGGATGTACGGCGTGCGCGGGACCTGTATGCAGATTAGATTATTAATTTAGATAGAGCGCAAGATCGCATTAATTTCGGGGAGGGCGGCTCACGAGGATAGAGCGGTATTATCTATCTGATAAGTCGCCGGGACTGGACCTGGACACGTAGGCTCTATGGCTCGAGCACGGCGATATCGATATCATCACGTCACCTAGTCTCAGCGCCAGACTGCCACGACATCCCAATTTGGGAGCCCTGTCGTGACAGTCTGGGACCTGATCAGGCGATTAGCCGGACCTCTGCGCTATGGTTTCGCGGTTGTTGAATGGCCTATTTTACCCATTTCTTGGCCGTTTTATTTCAAACCTTGGAGAGGAATATGAATATAAATGCATTAAAACGTGTTCTGCCAACTCAGAATTAGGATACGAGGCCTATGGAGGTCGGAATGGACTCTTGAACTCACTGTGTGGCAGTGCAAATAAGCGAGTGATGATCATTTTGGCTGGCAGATCCCTTGATAGCGCAGAGGTCCCGGCTAATCGCCTGATAAGGTCCCAGACTGTCACGACAGGGCTCCCAAATTGGGATGTCGTGGCAGTCTGGCGCTGAGACTACACGTCACCACGGTATTCGGATGCACAAGATAAGATTCGCAGACGGATGTGCATGCGGGGTATCTTCTGGGCTCTTGGGGAAACGTGACCAGGGCCGGGAAAGAGAATTCGAAGGAGGAGAAGTAAGGAGAAGGAGAAGGAGAAGCGGGCGTACGTGGCCGCACGTACGCCATTCGATTCCTCGAGCACCGGTGACGTATGGCGCAGCGTCAAGAGCTGGGACGTCGTCGGTTGCTCTCGACCCCAGACAGAATCTCGAGCTTTCGAGGTCGTCAACGGCAACGGCGACCAAACGGTGACGAGGGGGGCGATCAATGGCCGGGGCGTAAGCACGCTTGCGTCACCCTTAATGTCGATCATGTCATCCGCCGAAACGGGCGCCACTTCGCACGCCGGTTTGCTTATCTTTATTATGACTGAGGATTGGGCCTCTTCGAGGCGGGCGCTGAACCTTTAGGTTCAAGTTGAAGACTCAGACTTCGTACCCTTGGCCACGGCGGGGTATTCCGGACCGGGTGATACCATCACTTGATGGTGTCACCGTGACCGTCCTTCCTCCGACTCTCTCGCCTTGCTCTCGCCCAGCTTCGCCTCCCAACTTCCTTCACACACTCAAAACAAGAGAGGCTCTCGTTGCCTGCTAACTATACACTACACAACGGCTGACGTGGCAATCAATCAACTGATTGATTTCGGACGCAACATATTCCGAGTCCGATGCGGGCGGACGAACACGAAACGAATATGACACATCCAAAGGAACAGCAAGTAGCATTTTGGTAGCGGTAGTAGCTCATGATCCTGGCATTTGGCAAGAAAAAGGTGGTGGTATGGCATTGCATTTTTTTTTGTATCCAAAGTTCCACGTCGAACACCAGGAGTAATATCGTTTCGCGAGATGACCAAATTTGTATGACGAATTCGTTGTTTGTGCATGTTAGAAAAACAGATATTGATCGAAACCCAAGTTCCCCAGGTTAGCCAAACCTAAAGGTTCAGCAATAAGTCGAAATTTTACTCGGCATTTGCCGGCCGTCCAATATATGGGAATTCATCGATGGTGATTGCCGAGAAATGAACACTTTGTAATTCAACTCACAGTAATAGAAAAACATGAAGCTGTCCACAACTACGACGACACCGGCCCGAATCGAACGGGCGTCCTTCTGCTGGCACGTGAGGATGTGTAGCAACCTGGGACCTCCATGCAAACCATGTCTATGACTCTCAGTTCGAAAGTCGACCAAGGCGATAAAATTGAAAGCGAGGGAAAATAGTTAAATCTCAGCACCAGGCGACCCGTTGTACATGTACGTCACATCTTCAACCATTGTGCATTGTGGACGTGAGAGTCCGCAGGACATCCGCAACCGGATCTCCCACTCGCTCGATGGTCCCCTGACTAAATCAGGAAATTGATCTCAGTAGAAGACTAAAAGACAATGCTTCCCTCTTCAGTGACCCAGGCTCGAGTCGAACATGCATATTCCGCTGTTAACCTTATCAAACGATAATTCAAGTAGGACTCGTAACCTTGGGCCACAAGGGATGTATTTTAGGTAGTAAAGGTAAAAGCGCCTCCCTTGTTCTCATTATAAGTTGGCGCCCACC